CGACGACGACGACGACTGACGACGACGATGACGACGACTGACGAAGACGACGACGACAACGATGACGACGACGACGACGACGACGACGACGGCGACGACGACGACGACGACGACGACGACGACGACCGACGACGATGACGACGACGACGACGACGATGACGACGACGACGACGACGACTGACGACTGCGACGAACGGCCGCGCCCAAGGCGGCCGACGAGCGCCCACACGCGGCGCCGCTGGCCGAGCAGCTCCGAACCGCGGAAGAAGCGCTCGAGGCCTCGCCGAGCGCCGGCCGACCGGCGCTGCGGGCGCAGCGGCCAGCACCGGGCGAGGCGGCGACGCCACCGCCGCCGCTCGCGGTCGCTCGAAGACCCAGCCACGCGGAGAGGGGGGCCCTAGTTGGCCACGTCGTGAAAAACCCGCGACGGGTTTTGTTTCGCTATGTTTTGGCCTCCGGGGGCCCTCGCCGGGCCTCGGGGCCGTCAAAAAAAGACTCGGGATGAAAAGCCGTTCCAGGGGAAGAGGTCGAGACCTTTTGCGGGTCGACGTTGTTAAAAAGAATCGCGACATCCAGGGTCTGGGGAGGGGGGTAGGGGGAGGGGGGAAGGCTTCTGAGAGGCACCCCTGATTCTTAGAGGGCGCCATGTCTACAGATAACGGGCCGGCGCCTTCTGAGAAACAGCCTCCTTCTAAGAAGCTTCCCCCCTTACACCCGTTTGTGCGCGCCGCCAGCACTTTCATATCGGACAATTGTGCCTTGTGCCGAGCCACCAGGCCCTCGCGGAGCGATCGGGCTCGAAGAATGTTGTGGAACGAGAGGGTCAAGGCCTCGGGCCGACTTTGTGTACGCCGCTGCCCTTCGTCGTCGCTCGGAGATCTCCGTGAAGGTAGCGTTAAGTCGGGCGTGTCCCTCTACAGGAGGCATATCCAAGAGTAGTCAAAGCATAGTCCGGGGGGGCGATCTTTCTACGAGTTTTGACAAGTTGGGAACATTGTTTGACTATTCTGCTTTTTTCCTCCACAACTCGCCTGTAGGAGGACATGCCCGACCTAGGCGGGACACAAGGTTTTTGTCCGCTGTTGGCCTTACAGGGGCCATCCACGGGCCCCGGGGACCGTCAGGACCCAACTCTGGACGGAGAGCCGGCCCCAGAGAAGAGGTCCAGACCTCCACGGATGCCGCACTGAGAAGCTCAAGACATTACTCCTCCCTTCTCCTCCCTTCCTCCTCCCTTCCTCCTCCTCCTCCTCATCCTGATTTTCCTCTTCCTCCTCCTCCTCCTGCTCCTCCTCCTCCTCCTCCCTCCTCCTCCTCCTCCTCCTCCTCCTCCTCCTCCTCCTCCGCTGCCATCCGTCGTCGCTCGGAGATCACCGTGAAGGAAGCGGGTCCTGAGGGGAATGGATCCTCAGGTTTGGCCTGCTTTGGGCTTCGCGGGGCCCTCCACGGGCCCTGGGACCGTCGGGAAGCGACGCGGGATGAAGAGGTGGTCCAGGGGTGAGGTCCCCGTGGATCCAAGACCCGCCCCCCACAGGACAAGTTTGCTTCGTGCCCACTCGCCGTCGCTCGAAGACGCAAGCAAAACAGCATAAACATGAGCTTTTGAAGCTCCGCGCGGAGTTCTTGAGGAGGGAGGAGGAGGAGGAGGAGGAGGAGGAGGACGAGGAGGAGGAGGAGGAGGAGGAGGAGGAGGAGAGGAGGAGGAGGAGGAGGAGGAGGAGGAAGGAGGAGGAGGAGGAGGAGGAGGAGGAGGAGGAGGAGGAGGAGGAGGGAGGAGGCGAGGGCACCAGCTTCTGAAGCAGAACCGCCCGCAGTCCTGAGTCCTGAGTCCTGAGGAGGAGGAGGAGGAGGAGGAGGAGGAGGAGGAGGAAGGAAGGAGGAGGAGGAGGAGGAATGAGCAATGAGTTAGGCGCGACCTGACTTCTGGGGGGGAGCGGGTTGCCTTTCCAAGTTATGGGCAACCCCAGTGGCAAGGCCAGTTCTGCCCACGAGCGGCGGCGAACCTCAAAAGGCATCGCGCAGGTGCACGAGGAGGAACCACCTAGGGAACCGACCCCTGACTGGATCCTCGGCCCTTGCTGCTGCTTTTTCTCCCGACGTGGGGCCCGCTCGGGGGCCGCCACGAAGGGGATGGGAGGAATATTTGTACTAGCATGTGTATCATGACACCCCAGGCCACTAAATTTAAAAGATGCCCGCTACCACTGACAGCTCCGATCTCGACTTGATCGAGTTCTTTCTCTCGATCGATCTTGGGCCATCTGACTCCCGTGCCCGATCGTGGCGGGGGCCAGCTACCTGCGCCCTTTCATGGCTCCTTTCTTCTCGCTCAGATTGACAGTGCGTGCAGCCTCGTCTTCGGCAGGCCCCCTTCGGCGCTGGGCCCACGAGCTGGGTCCGCGTGGGAGGCCCTTCTCCACCTGGTTCTGGCCGCCTCCCTTGCTGCCCTGAGCCCCTGCTGCTGCTCCTCCCCGCTTCGGCAGCAGTGAAAGTGGGAGATGTGTGCGTGTGTGTGTCGCCCACGACCGTGGGGAGTGAGCTCTAAATCTGCTGCTGGAAGGAAGCCACGACCCTACTCTTCTCCTCTGTGTTGTAACTTTGTCCGCCGCTGCGAAAGGAGCCGGCGCTCTTTACGAGCAAACGACCTACCGCGGCCCACACCTGCACGTGCGGTGGTCTTCCTGCCTTGATGTCGACCCCCTCGACGTTCAGCTGCTGTTCCACCATACTTTGGCATGTTTCGTTGTACGTTGCTCCCACGTCGGTCATGACCTAGGTGATGTTTCTGCCGGTCTCCGCGATCGCACACGTCTGGAATACCGCCCCTGCGAAGTTGGCGAGCTCGCGCGCCTCCGTGAGGCACAACTTGGCGAGGGTCTTGTAGTGTTCCCTGTAGGTCCTTGTCCCCACCGCCCTTGCTGTTGCCCTTCTTCCCCGTGTTCGGTGCCCTGCTTAGCGGATCCAATGGTGGGTCTTCTGCTGCTCCACAGTTCGCCTCCGACTGAGCCTGCATCTAGGCCGCGGGCTGAAGCTCCGCCATTCAAACTAAACCCTAATGGGAACACTTTGGGCGAGGTAGAATTGGGCCAGGCAAGTGGCCGCGTACGTGCCGGCATAGATCGTCGAGGTCACATGCTTCAACGTCGCATTTTGGACCTGACAGCAACGACGAAGATTCAAGGAGTCGACGCGTCCTACCTCCACAGAATCGACAATGTCTCCGTTGCACAAGCACAATCAAGATGCCGAGCAGCACAAGCCTCATCCCAGAAATCCTCCCGACAACAGGTACAGGTACTGCACGGAGTGAGCACATGGCATAATGAGAGTACCTCATCCGGCCCCGCACAGGGGCCACAAGCCCCCCCCCTTCTGGTAGAGAAACACTCACCGCATCCCTGCACCTGGCGCGAGAGCGATGAGCCCTCCAACTCAGGCGGTGCGTCCAGAACGCTGTCCGAGCCAGGCTCCGTGAATTCGGGGGGCGAAGCTTTGGACCCAAAAGTCCGATCGGATAGCAGCGAAGCCGGTCCTCAGGAATGCAGGGCGGGCCTCCGAGCCCCACAAAAGGCCAGGGCGCGCAGCCATCTGCCCAACCTATCCTCACAATCGGAGAGCGCCCCTGGGCATAACGGAGTCCTCCGCAACTCATTGGGACCAGGGGGTGGCCCCAGGAGACAGGCGACCACCTTCCAACAGTGCCACCCCGGACTCAAAACGATCTCTCCCAGAACGAGACGAGAACAGTTGGACGTGGCTCGAAGGATGAGCAGAACAATACATGTACCAGTTCAACCGACGAATGCACATTTCAGCGCGTTGCTTGCACGCTCTCACATGATTTAACGTCGCCTTGGATATGAAGGCACGAGTTGCGTCTGGTTCTATCGCCCAGCTGGCGCGCCCTCTCATGCACACGCGCCCAAAAATGATTAATGGCTGCGCCCAAACGTTCATCCTGATGCTTCGTGGTCAAGAAGGCCTCAAGGCCGCGCAGAACTGAATTCTGCAGCGGTGACAGAAAACGGATCGAGCAAGCTCCCCAGGAAGCGCCACGGACCAGAAGCCGCCCCAGGGAAGAAAGGGCCGAACGCATTGCCTGGCGCGGCGGAGCCCACCTCCTGACTAGGAGCTTGGACAGTGGAGGCACCGGGCCCAGACAGCCCGCCTCCTCCGCAAGAGTCCCTGGGACGAAAGCCCGAACAGGCCCACGGAGCCATCTGCGACACGACTTGCCCCTTCCCACCCTCCAGCCAGCCAGCCCCCGCTTACCCAGGCTTGGTTGACACCCACATCCTTGGGGGAACAGAGCAGGGAGGCCATCAGATTGGACCGACGCGGCGAGGAAATGGCCCAAGGGTTCACCCTGGGAAGTGGAAACGCAGCGGTAAACATCACCCGCAGAATTGCACAGATCGAGGTCGGCCTCTTGGCGGCCACATTCGGCACGCGGAGGATCAAGTTCGGGATCCATGTCGCGCAAAGACCCCGCCCATTGTTGCACATGGCGCTGAAATGTCGCCGAAAAGGTTGCCACCATGAACGGGCCCCCCATAACTCTTTCCACTCGCCGTCATCGACTCCCACCCCCCCACCCCCCCTCACTAGGCAGTACAACCATTGCGTCACGATGCCGGTTCCTGCAGAGAGAGCGTGGTTTTCTGCGACTGAGTTAGACATCGTGGAGTCCATCGTTGCCCACGCAGTGCTACCGACTACACCGTTCGTATCTTTCAAGCTCGCCCCGAAACTCCATCCCGAATTCCGTAGTCTCCACCCCACCACCTGAGACGCGAACATTGCCCCTTCACGACGACGGTGACTCCGAAACTCCTCATCTTCGGTTGTCCATTCGTTTCGGTCCCATCGTAGCTTCGCCCAGTGAGAGCAGTCGGCTGTCACGTATGTAGGTTTGCAGAACACTACGAAGCCGCCTCAACCAGGCACAGCTCAAGAGACTCGAGCGCGTGATCTGGCGCGTCCTGCTCGTCAGCCTGAGTCCAGTCCTTCTCCTTCTCCCTAATCAGTACGCTGATCGCCTGTCTTGACTGCCGCCATGAGCGAGGACACCTTGAAACCTCTGGGGTACGCGGGCCCGAGATTGAAGGGGACATGGTCTCGAGGCGGCTGGCCGCTCTGAGCTTGCAACTGGGCCCTCACTCGTCTGCGGGCGCGGCACTTCACGAGACGCGTGCACGAGCCTTGCGGAACGAAGAAGAAGCGGCCCCGCCTGGTCTGTCGCCATACAAAGTGGCCTTGCGTGCTCACGGGTTTTTCGTTGTCACGAGGTGACGTTGACCCAGAAGCCTCGCCGTCATCTCCCCAGCCCTGTTCCTCCTTTCCCTCGTCCTTGTCTGTATAACCGTCACGCTCTCGCAATCTTGCCTAGTCCCCTCTATCTTCCGACATCCCAACCCGCCGTTCAAGTCAGCGAAAAACGGTCAGAATTCGGCTGTTTAACCACCGTCTGGGCGCATATGGGACCAGCACCTTCACTCCGAGGTTCGGGGGGAAATGCATCACGACAACGCCAATGTCGAGCATCCCGTAGCGAACACGGGCGGCGAGGCAACGACCCCCCCAGCCCAGGCGGGCCGGCGAGCACGCGTCGTGCACGGTGGTCCCTCATGCCCCATCCAATCATGAACCACCCGCCCTCCCACCCTCCTCTGAAGCACCTTTCTGGCTCCCTTAGAAGAATTCGGCGTTTCTGCCAAGGGCGTGCGGCCCATATTCTTTGTACACGCGGCGATCTGCAAGAGGCGACCTCCAGTGGCCCACAGTTGTTTCCGCCAGAGCACCCGCAGTTTCGACATGGTCGGCGGCCACCCCATCGCGCGTTGGCCGCCGGGCCGATGGGCGCCGGGTTGCACCTTGAATTCGTATCTCGGGCCCCGCAGACTCGAATCTCTCGAGCCCAGGGGCTGGAGGAGAGAAAGGACGCTGCCCACCGCTCCACGGCGCGCTGATTGCTGGGCCAGGACGTGGCCCCGCCGGGGGCCACCTGCTCGACCTGCACCCGCACCTGGGAGCGGGCAGGCCGCAAACTGTGGGAGGCCGCTTTGCCCCAGGGCTCGCCGCACGTGGCGGTGCCCGCGCGGAGGCGGCCTCAAGGCGCGCAGCATTCCGTGAGATCCTGGCGTCGCGTGTTTGCACAACGGGCGACTCTGCCATGCTTGTGGCCCTGAAACCCTCGCGGCTCGATCCGCCCCGAAAAGTGTTGCCGAACGATAGGGCCCAGGGTTCCGGTCAAGGTTTTTTGTTTTGTGTCTTGCAGTTCTCACGTGACGTCGGATTTTCAGGTGGACCTCGCATCGGCGCGTCGGCGCAGGGGCGCGTCCACTCCGAGCGCTGCTGCCGCGCAGCACGCCAAACGCCGGAGCTGGCCTGAGGCTTCCGGCGCCGGCATTTGCGCGGGCGGCGAGGCGGGCGGGCCACGGCGGCGGCGCGCCCCGCGGAGGATGTGGCCCGCGCCCACTGCGGCGCTGGGCTGACGGCGCGGCGGGAGGAGGCCATTCTCGACCCTGGAGATTTCAGCGCTCCTCCTCCTCCTCCTCCCCCTCCTTCTCCTGCTCCTCCTCCTCCTCCTGCTCCTCCTCCTCCGGGCCGATTGCCCCCGAGTAAGTCTCGACGCCATGGTGCGTCACGGCGTGCCGGGCGCGACGCCGAAGGGCCCGGGCTGCTTGTGGGCGGGGCGGCGCTGCCCGCTGAAAGGCGCGAGCGGGCAGGCGCCTGCGGTGCTCAGGCGGCCCCGCGCCGCGCCAGACGGTGCCACCCGCGCTGGGGAGTGGCGGCCGCCATTGCCCTGCGGCCCTGCGCCAGCTGCGGCGCCTTACGCACGACCGCGCGCAGACGCTGGCTGGGGCCGACGGCACCGCGACCGCCGCTGCGGCCAACGCCCTCGCGCGCCGCCGGGGCGCGGAGGCGGCGTGTTTGTTGCAGGCGACCGGGGCGCGGGGAAGCCACTCTGCCAGATGCCATCGCTGCTTTGACTCGGTCGAAGTGCTGGCGGAGCTCAGAGGGCGAGGAGGCAAAAGGCGAGCCCGAAGGATCACAGCAGCTGCCCGGCATCTTCGTCGTGGTGGCCCGCACATTGAAACGAAGATGTAGACGGCGCGCAGGCCTGCCCGCCGCGCGAGGAGGATGACGCAGAAGACGAGGAGCAGGAGAAGGAAGAGGAGGAAGAGGAAAAGCAGCAGGGGGACGAAGAATAGAAGGAGGAGGAGGAGGAGGAAGAGGAGGAAGAAGAAGAAGAAGAAGGAGAAGAAAACGAGGAGGGGAAGGAGGAGGAGAAGAAGGAGGAGGGGGTAAAGGAGCAGGTGGAGGAGGAGGAGGAGGAGGGGGAGGAGGTTCAGGGGGAGAGGGGGAGAAGATGGAGGAGGAGAAGTGGGGGAGAGCAGGAGAAGGAGGAGGAGGAGGAGGAGCAGGAGCAGGAGGAGGAGGAGGAGGAAGAGGAAGAGAAGGTGGAGGGGAAGGAGGAACAGGCGGGAGGGAGGGTGCTCCTCCCTCCGCTCCGTTCCCCCGCCTCCCGGCCGGCCTGGCGAGGCAGACGTCGCGGGCGGCAAGTGGGATTACCCCCGGGTGAGGAGCCTAGGGGGCGGCTCAAGCCAGGCCGCAGTGGAGCGCGAGAGGGTCGGCCTCGTATTGCCCCCATCCACCGGGCGAGGAGGGAGAAGGGAAAGGAAGGCGAGGAGGACGAGGTGGGGGCAGGGGTACGAGGATGGAGGGGGGAGGCGGCGGAAGAAGTAGAAGAAGACGAGGTAGAAGAAGAAGAGGACGAAGAAGAGGAAGAGGAAGAAGAAGAGGAAGAGGAAGAAGAAGAAGAAGAAGAAGAAGAAGAGGAAGAGGAAGAGGGCACCAGGAGGAGCATCAGCAGCAGGACAGGGGGGCAGGAGGAGGAGAAGAAAGGGGATGGAGGGCGAGGAGGAAGAGGAACGGGATGAAGAGAGCAGGAGGGAGGGCAGCAGGAGGAGCATGGGCGGCAGGAGGAGGATCAGGAGAGGGGGGAAGAAGGCAAAAGGGAAGGCACGAGGGGTGGAGGAGGGAGAAGGCCGCCTGCCCCTTCTCCCCATCCCTCCCCCCCTCCTCTTCTTCCTCTCTTTCCTCCGCCTCCTTCCCCTCCCCCCTTCTTTTTCACCCCCTCCCTCGCCTCTTCCTCTCAATCGGCACCACGGCTTGGCGATCGGAAGAGGAGGAGAGGAGGAGGAGGAGGAGGAGGAGGAGGAGGAGGAGGAGGAGGAGGAGGAGGAGGAGGAGGAGCATGTCTCAGCCTCCTTTCAATTGATCCCCCGCCCTGCCCTGGCCCAAAGCTCGCGCCCGTGGAGGAGAGAATACGAGCGCGTCTTGGGCCGCATCCGGGAGTCGCCCGTGGTCTACGAGCCCTTCCCTCACATAGAAGTCCGCGGGCTGGATTCTCTTCCGCTGGCCAGTCTGGGCCCTGGGATGAGGTGGCGGAGGAGGGGGCAGGGGAAAGGAGGACAGCAGGGAGGAGGGGTCAGCTTCGGCTCCGGAAGAGCTCGTGACGGGCTTCTAGAGGCGTCCGGGCCCAGGACTTGTTCCGGCGGCTGTGTTTCGTCAAGTGCCTGTCGATGGGGGTCGGAGCTGTCCCAAGCCAATATTTGGCTCCAGCTGTGGCCAAAAACAGCATCACATCCTCCGCCTGCTCCTCCTCTGGGGATTCTGGCACGCTGGCTAAGGGAATCCTCGTGAATATTTGGACGATACAAAGAAGGTTGGCCGGCGCTTGCGCAAGTTAAAAACGAATACAGCAAGAAGCATTTACAACGATCGACAAGAACATTGAAGCCAGAACACTACCGCGACCAAATCGGTTGTTGTTGGACTTGCCACGGCCAGTAGACAGGCATAGCTTATTCCGCTGCTGACAATAGGATTGTTTTTTGTTTCGGTCCTCGTGCTTCGTCCCCAAACTGTAGTGGAGAGCTTATCCTGGCGTCGCTGAGAGGCGACTCGATTCCAGCCCGCAGAAACGTTAAGCATTTTTCGGCTGCTGCAAAACGATAAGAAAGAGAAAAATGCAAAGAGGTCCCCGAGCTGCTGTCGGACGAATTCTACGCAGCCCTGATCCTAGTAGGCCCCAGGTCGGTGGTCGACCTGGTCGCTGATCCAGCCGATCCGTCGTCAGGACGGCCCGTCAGGATCGTAAAATCTAGCCGACCCATCGGTCGATCGTGATAGTGCTACGGAGATTGGAGGCTGAACGGGCCGGGTCGATCAGGATGAAGGTCAGGATCAGACCGTGCATCAGATTGGATCGGGGCGGTGACTCTCAGGCCCTGATGGCGGAGTTGCCCCCCGTCTCAGAGTACAAGCCAGCCGCGTACGCGGGCACCGCGCCGACCTACGATGTGCTGGACACGGAGTCGTTCAACACGTCCACGCCCGTCGAGGTGCCAGAGGAGTGCCGGAAGAAAGACGGCGCGGACAAGCGATGTTTTTTCAGGACTCGGCAGCTGCATGAGGACGGTTTTACCACGGGTTTGGTCTTCAAAGCGGGCAAGAGCCTCGAAAGAAGATATCCGTTGTGGACCCGGATGTATGAGCTCTTTTATTCGCTCAATTTTACTAGGGCGTTGGTGGAGAAGTTCACCTTGGACGACGGCAAGGGCATCCCGGCATGGAAGCGGGCCAAGTGGAACCTCACCCACGGTTCTCTCAAGAATTCTGCCGCTCTCAGAATCGAGCCATCCCATTACCATCTGGCCCCCCACGTGGACATCATGGAGAAGTTGATTACGTGGCAGTTCTTTCACCCAGAGGACACTCCGATTCGCCTGCCAGTGTTCCTCCCCACTCGGTGGTGCACGCGGGGCCTCCTCCCTCCACCCTCCCCCCTCTTCTTCTCCTCCCCCTCCTCATCCTCCTCATCCTCCTCCTCCTCCTCCTCCTCCTCCTCCTCCTCCTCCTCTTCCTCCTCCTCATCTCCTCCTACTACTCGTCCTTCTCTCTGCCCGCAGGACTTCTCGCTCGCCGACCGGAGGGCTGGCACGTCGTTCTACAGGCCGAGGCCCGGCGTCCACATGCGCATCAACGACGCGCTGAACCCGCAATGGATGGACTACGACCTCTTCGAACAGGTTTGCTATCACAGGCGGAGGACAGGAGAGGGAAGAGGAGAAGCCTCCTCCTCCTCCTTCTCCTCCTCCTCCTCCTTCTCCTCCTCCTCCTCCTCCTTCTAAGCGGAGGAGCGGGAGGAGGAGTATGACCCGTCGTGCATCCAGGAGCGGGAGCACGGGCCACCACCTCGGCGCCACCAGGCCCCCGCACCACTGCCTCGCCCCGCGGGGCTCCTGCGGGCGCCCGCCAGCGCGCGAGAGCCGATCGCAGAGCGTTCACGAACCGGGCATTACCCTCGACAGCCGGCTGAAGGTCTGAGCGTGGTGGGGTGCTCGCCAGCTCTGGTGGCGGTAACCGAGGACCGCTGTGGGGCCCCGGTCTCAGGATTCTCTGCGAGGCCCTGGCAAGCTCCCCTGTTCAGCCCGCCGTGCCCGCGGGGACGGGACCCTTCGAAGCCTGAGACAAGCCACAAAGCGTGTGGAAGCCGTGGTGCCATGGCCGAGGAGGATTGTGTGCCCGTTGAGCTCGACGAGCTCTTCACCCACGCGTGGCACCCGCTTCCCGTCCTCGGGAGCACCGTCTCTCGCCACGTCACCGGCGACCGCCGGCGCAGCACGTGCCGCCTCCTTCCTGCACGGGGTGGCCGTCGGGAGCTCCAGGTCCGGCTTCTGCTCTGAGCGGGATCACACCTGCTGTGGTAGCTGGTTCTCGCCAGCATCTTGGCAGGATTGGGTGGGGCCCTCGCGACGGCCAAGCAATGCTTGCAACGGTGAAGCGCCCAGGAGCTCGAGCCGCAATCGTGCGAGCACACAGCCCTACAGCAAGAGCGCTAAGCCCTGGGAAATGAGCTTCAAGGACTGACGGTGTCTCACCTGCAGGATTCCGAGCCTCTGGCAGCCATCTCGGTTGCCCGCTCAAGAGAGAAATCGAGTTTGCATCCTAATTGCCTGAGCCTGGGCCTCGAAAGTTTTGACGGCTGTTTCACCCGCAGGAGTAGGAGGGAGGGGGAGGGGCGGGAGCAATAGGAGGAAGAGCAGCAACGTCAGGTGAGCGAGCAGAGGGTCCTGCCCAACTACTTCTTCTCCTTTGCGCCAGGGAGCAAAACATGGCACGGCGCCTCCATCGACCCACCGCAGCTCGTTGGCACCAGCGAGTACGCTCGACGGACGTTCCTCGGATTCATCACTGCAGGGGACACGGGCTTCCACCCCTTCCGGAAGCCGCAGGGCGACGTCTACTTGGACTGATCAGCGCCAGGCCAGGCTCCGCCTTGTGACTGGCCAGCTTAGCGGCCTCCCTCGCGTGCGCCCTTCGCCCTCGCGTGTTCGTCCTTTTCCTCCCTCCTCATCCCCCATCCCCCTCCTCCTCTTCCTCCTCCTCCTCCATGTCCCCATCCCTCCCTGGTCTCTTCTCCCGTATCCCTCCCTCCGACCTCCTCTTCGTCCTTCCTCTGTCTTCCAGAACCGCTCCTGGATGCGGTGATAAGGCCCCCGGAGACCGGGGCTGAGCAACCCGCGGTACGGCGATTAGCTCCAGCACTGCATACGTAAAGTTGCACTGCCGCCTCTTGCGCTCTCTGTCTCCCTTTCGCCCCACTCCTCCCCTCCGAATGAACGCTGAAAAAAAGTCCTATGCCGCCTCCTATCCCTCTGAGTCGCCGCATCTGGACATTGTTGGCGTGTGGATTCCCTTCGCCGCCCCGTCTTTCCCTCACCTGTCCTCGCCCTCCCCCCCCCCCCCCCCTCTCACCCCCCCATCCCTCCCCTCCAATCTTTCCCTTGCTCTGTCTCTCGCTTTCTCTCCCATCCCCATCCCCCCCTGTCGCATCCCTGCACTCCTTCCCGCATGCCCTGACGTCAGTCCACGGAGCAGTTCAGACAGGCAGTTTTGAAAGCAGCTCCAGAGTGATAAATATCGTGAGTCGAAGTGTCAAGGGTGCCTAGCGATGCTGCCAGAAGGCCATCAGCGCGTGCAGTTGGGCCGCTGAAGAAGGAACCCTTTCCGTTGGGGAGGGGCTCAGTGCTCTTTTAATTGTTTTACAGCTTGGCTTAGGTAGTCCTTAGGTTTTCGATGGGAAATCGAAGTTTCGCTTATGGAGAAACATGGGCCCCGTTCCTTGTTTAGGGTTCCTTATGACTTCGGTCACTGTGGTGGTCGTGATGGCGAGGCGAACAGCAGTGAAGTATAGCTGGAGCTGCGATCTCGGAGGAGGAGGAGGGGGGGGGGGGGGGGGGCAAGCATGAGGGGGAGGGGGATGAGGAGGAGGAGAAGGAGGAGGAGGGGAAAAGGAAGGGAAGAGGAAGAGAGGAGAAGGAGGGAGGAGGAGGAGGCGGAGAGGAAGAGGAAGAGGAAGAGAGGAGGAAGAGGAAGAGGAGGAGGAGGAAGGTGCGAGGGTGGAGGGGGAGGAGAGGGGAGGAGGAGGGTGGAGAGGAGGAGGCGAAGGCGGAGGCGGAGGCGGAGGCGGAGGAGGAGGAGAAAGAGAGAGTGGAGGAGAAGAGGAGGGGGGAGGGGGAGGGGGAGGGGTGAGGGGGAGGGGAGGGGGAGGGGTGAGGAGGAGGAGAGGAGGAGGAGGAGAGGATGGGAGGAGGAGTAGGCGGAGGAGGAGGAGGAGGGGGGGGGAAGAGGAACGCCGATTGCTCAGGAGGCTGCGGTCGCCCCCTCGGCTCTGGTGCGCTTCAGAAGGGCCGACATCCTTCGCTGAGAGTGCAGGCGGAGGGGCAGAGGACGGGTGGAGAGAGAAGGGGGAGGAAGGTGGACGGGAAGGGCGAGAGGGATGGGGAACAGGGGATGTGGCAAAGGAGGTTGAAGGGGGGAGGGTACACCAGGGAGGGCGAGGGAAGGTGGGGCGACGATGGGATGGAGGACATGTGCGGAACGGGA